GTGTTCCTTAAATAGGGTACAGGATAATAGGCACCCATATACAAAGGAGGGTTCAAAAGAATATAAAAAATTTTTCGTGGAGGAGTGATTTTTCTTGCTTTGAATTAATGGAAAAATACTTATTGTAGTATATTTGTCAGCATTTTCTTTGAAAAAGTGATGGACATGCCAAAATCATCTTGCCTTCAAATTCGATTGATCAGCCTTTGTATTTCCAGTAAATCCTTGTAATTTTTGGATATTGTACCCTTCATCTTAAGATTTCTCAACCTTAGTTACCTGTTTACTCTCTTTTCAAATTAAATCAAAATGAATCACCATGAACAATGCCCTCCTACACGCTTACAATTTTATATGGAATCTGAACACCAAATGTAATATCATACAGCAAGCACGCAACCGCAATTTCAATGTGGCGACAGCCAAACATAATTTATCCAATTAATAGTCACGCCTTCTGTGAGTAGCATATACTATTGGCATTTAAACGAAAATCAACCCTTGAGGAAAAATCATTAACTAAGAGCAACAAACCTATAGAAGTATGAGCTATTTTCGTGCAGGAAGATAATGTTTTATTACCTTCATTGTAATTTAGTAAATTCTTCTAGAAAAGTAAACCCGAAATTGATTACTTATTACTATTGGTTTATTCCTTACTGATTACTCAGTTTTAGCAACATACTTGGCCAGGTACATTTCCCAGCCTGATGCTGTAACTTTCTGGATGTTCATGTGTGCTCCCCACAGGTAAAGTATTTCCTGATTGTAGGGAACAACCAAAATGTCTTCATGGCATCTGCGATGAGGTAGAAATCTGTTGCCAGCATTGTTAACCTCTCCTCCTCCTGAACTGGGTATGGAAAACCATACTTACATTTCCTGAGGGGCTTGCCATGAGAACTGGTAAAACACTTGTTCTTTAGACATCTGTGTACCTGTAGACGTCAAACAAAAGACTTAGTGAATTAACAGTAGGGTTTAATTCGCTACCCCTTGGCATTTCAGCACAAACTGCGTGGTCAGGGATTGTTTTCTCCTTACACCAAACAACCATATGGTTGTGAATGGCTCCCCTGGCCTGGAACTCCTTACGATCCCACCAGTCAATGACTTATTCTAGTGGGCCATTAGGGTTGTTGATAATCTTCTCTTTGAACAACTTCAGCCTATTGTTGTATGCAGTTACAGTTTCGATTGAATACTCCCTGCTACATTTTTGGCCTGCTCTGCCAAAAAATTTGGTAAAAAATTTCACTCGCACTCCTGTGACTATTGCTAGGAAGGGGAGAGCCTCTACCCCTTCTCTATCTCAGGCGACCCCCTGCCTAGCGATAGTCACAGGAGTGCACGTGAAATTTTTTACCAAAATTTTTTGGCAGAGCAGGCTGCTTTTTATCACATGAACCCCAATTGGACGTGACCATTCAATTTGAGATAGAGGCTAGACATTTTTGTCTTGTCTTTACCAAGGCTAATTTTACTATCATTTATTGAGGGGTTCTAAGAGAATTCTCGTCTTTTCCGAGGCTAATCTATATACCCTACCCTAGGGCCACTGGCAAGCCCGCGTAGCGGCCTACTTAGGGGAGCTAGTCTTCTGTTAATTGAAAGTTGCTGCAAAACATTTGCAAGCCCAGGTCTATTCGTGTACCTCGTTTAAATATTTTAATGGTTTACCACCTAAGTTTCTTGTTTATTCTAATTTCAGTGTTTGAATTTTCCATATAATTATTTCATTTATTCCTCAACGACTCGTGGGCTCTTTGACACATTTTCATGGGATTACTCCCAGGAGTTCTTCTATTTATTTAGAATCAAAATTTAAACTTTTCTAGCAATATAGTTTTGGTCCTCGTTGACAAATGGGTTTTGCTCAAATATTTTCTAAGCCAAATATTTCCTTAGAACTCTCAATGTTAATCCAACGTGAACTATAGAACTTCTTTCAGTTCTCGTTGACTCATGGTTCTGGTTTAAACATAATTGCGGACTTCCTCAAGACTCCTCTGTTTATTCTGAATCAAATGTTAAAACTTTCTAACAACAAAATTTTGTTAGCCGTAGCATGTCGTGGTGCTTGTTCAGACATCAGCCGAAAACGTTTTAGACAACAAAACTCTTAAAAGTATGACAAATCCTAAAAAGGTGACATTTCGAGCTTTAAACTCAAAGAATTAAAATTATCACACAGTTCTTTTGATTGGAGGTCCAGGTATCTTTGTCACAATTAGCTTTTGACACACTGGAACAACAAAGACCTAAGAAATTGAAAGATAGAAAACAGCCAAAGTTTCGTGCATCAGAAAGGATTCTTACTCCAACAACAAATTAACAAAATTCAAATTTATTGACAACAGCTAATCTTCATAGATTTAGTCATTTTCTCCACAGTCAATGGTTTTTTCTTGTTTATTTGTTCGATTTAACGCCAGCATAAATGCCATTAAATTTCGTTTCGAAGGTCTGAGAAACATTTCTGCGTCATACTTATTGCTTGTTTTTTGTCCTCAGTATTTCTATTAGTTTATTTAATTATCCATATGCCAGTGTCTATATAATGTTTCTTTACAATTGCAAATTTGGTTTAACAAGAAATAACCTGCATGAAATTGGTTTTTAGCCCCTAATGAGCCACAAAATATTCACCCTTCACAATGGTACTTTGGATATTTTAACTTTCTAGTTTCTCAGTTAGTTTTAAATGGTAAGCATCACAGTTGATTGAAGTAAAATGATGATGTTTAAGAAATGAAATGAGCAAAGTAGACTTTAGTAATGTGCCATGATTGCCATCAATTAAAATTCTTAGAACATTTTATGGAAATTGTATTAAAAAATGACAAAAAGAAATTTTAGTTACAAAGCTGTTTGAATAACATAATTTCTTTTTTTGAAACTGTGGCATCCAAGGTGAAATATGTAAAACTAAGCAATTTTGAACACATTTATAACAAGTCTCTGTGCAAATTAAATACTTCTTGGTAGATTTAGATTTAAATTTTTAACTAACTTTTAGATCTTTGAGCATTGCATAACAAAAGTAATGACTTTTTCTCATGTTACTTATCTTCCGGGAACCAGGAGCATGGCTCTTAAATTTGTATTTGGCAACACCCAACACCTGACATTTTGCCCCCCAGCAAAAAGTCCCACCAGCCGCCACTGAGTATGCGTTCATCATTGTTTGTTAGTGGTGTTAAATTGTATAACGTGCATTTGTTTTTTCTGTTTCTTATAAAGTTTTGTATTGTGTTGAATGTTCCCAGGCGTTAATTGGTTGCAAGGATTGTTCTTTATTTGTTTGGTTATGATTATCTATGTTTGTTAAAGAAAGATTTTTAAAGGAGAAATTGGAGATTGATTTGGAAACATGAAATTGAGGTGTAAAAATGTTTCTAGACAGATTATATTCTTTGAAATTCTTGCCTTTATGTTGTAACATGGACGGGTGCTCCTAAACCATATGTGCAGAGAAACCTGTTTGTCACAGTGTATAGTCATTGACATCAATGCAAGAATTTTGACAGAGGACATTGTAACGTTGGGTAGATTTGTAAACTCACACTGTTATTATTATGTTATACTCCTACGAAGCCCGCTACGCAGGCTTGCCAGGGCCCTATGGTTCAATATTAAGATAGGCCTTGAAAACAAGAGTGCCATAAACCTCGATTTTCAAAATGAGGAGAGGTCACGTGATAAAAAAATTGCTTGACTCCTGTGCGAATTAAATGCGCCTTTTTGCGATCACATAGGAAGGGAGCCTAAAAAAAAAGAAAGATGGGGTTCGTGCTTTCAGAAAGGATTCTACTCAAACACAATTAACAAAATACAATTTCGATGACAAACAGCTTAATCTCATAGATTTAGTATTTTCTCCACAAGTCAGGGGTTTTTTCTTGCTTCTTTGTTCAGTTAACGCCAGCATAAATGCCAAAATTTCCAGCAATAAATGCCAAGAATCCGTCTGCGTTATATTATGCGCTTTGAAACGCTCTTTGATCTAGATGAAGAACAAAAAGAATATATGAAAGTTTATTCAATGGTTTAATGAAGCACTTTTAAGGAATCGAGTGATCTCTCATAATATCTCTCTCTTCCGGTGGTTAGAGTGTAAAAATACCTCAATATATATGAATTAATAAACGTACCTCTCGCTATTTAGTATGTATATGAATTCTCGAAATACAGCGGAAAATCATATTGAATTGTATTGTTAGTGGCATACAGCACACATCACTCCAATATTTTCACGCCGATCACCCAAGATAAAATACAATTTTAACTCTAACCTATAGGGTCTTGCATACCTATTAGCAACCCGGTTAGTGTTAGGTATTTCACCCAAATTAAGCTAAGTCATTTTAAATGCTTTCTGAACCACGTCATTTTACCAATTCCAAGATACTTTGATACAAAGACACTAGAAAATAGCATTTTACATCATCAGAGGCAGGTAGATAGTTGCCATTAAGATAGTCTTCCGTGAGAAAATCACGACAAAAAGTGGAAATTTTAATCGAAATACATATATAATTAAATTATTTAGATGTTCCAAAAAGTCAGGAAATACTGGTCTTTAGTCACATACGTACAAAAAAAGTGTGTTAGAATCATATTGACGGTGACCTTTTGTACTCTTCTTAATTCATTTCCATCCACCTTCTTGACACTCTGTTGGATGCTAGCTTTAGTAGGCAGAT